GATAATAATGTGGATATTACATAATACTATTTAAAATGTGATAATATGTGGGTGTATGTTCTTACTCCGGATCCATTAGTGCGAATGCTATCATGCGAGTTTGTACTCCTTTGACGTTCTTCATTTGAACGGGATGTATCTCGACCACCATTCCAATGATATCTAAACATTTAGTAAATTAAATGTGAGAAAATGTATTAAGCGTAAATAATAAAAAAAAATTAAAATTTAGTTACCAAAGAGCATTGATTCGTCGATTTTCTCGATATCAATCAATGTGATGAACCTTCGAAAGTCGAAACGGAAAATTGGAAATTCAAGCTTGACGGGTATGTGCTCTGTTCTACCATGTAGTATAAGCCTGTATTGGGCAATGGTAGATCTATACATTCCGATGTTACTCTCAACTTGATAGTTTCGGAATGCATAAACAGCGCCTTCTTCGAATTCATCCTTGAAAGTTGGGATGTTGATTGCTCTTACTATCCCCGTTATTCGACCGCCCTAAAGAAACAAAATAAAAAAAAATTAAGTATTGTAATTAGCATGATGAGAAAAAAGGATAATAAATATTTTGTATTATGAATTGAACCTCATTGTCATGAAAGACAATTTCAAGAAGGTTCTTGTATGATGAGTATTGATTAGTCCTTAAGAAGACCCGAACGACTCTCAACTTAAGCATCGGCCTGTTGGTTCTTGTTATTTGCTTGATGTTCCCCCATGCTTTTCCCATTTTTTTGTTTTTATGTGAAATTGTTTTGTGAGATTTTTGTGTACCGTGATATGGGCTCGTAAGTTTATTTTATAGTCATGGATTGATAGTAGATAACCATTGCATGATAAGATTAGTTACTCACGTTTATCTGTTTTGATTACTCACGTTTATCTGTTTTGATAAGAATCACGTGATATCTTAACATGTATGGACACAATTTTTTATCATCATAAGATTAGTGAAAGTAGTTATAGCGATTTGTTTGTGATAGCATCACGTGATTTTAATTAGAGTTTCAATAAAATGAGACTCTAATGTCAAGATAAGATTAGTAGTAGTTTATCATATTCTTAAAACGTGTGTACCCAAGTTTTTTATGATGATATGATTAGTGAAAGTAGTTATGAAATAGAGATTCTTTTGTGATAGAGTTCCAACTTTAGTTCACGTGATTTTAGTTCCAGTAAAATCGGAATCTAATGCCATGATAAAATTAGTAATATTACTTTATCAGATTGTTAATAATTTGATATGTACTAATGTCATCACATTGAATAAATACGAAATGCCATCTTTTAAGTCAAAATTTTTATTAATGTTAATTTATATATGACACAAATTATATATAACAAAAAATATTGTAAATATGATAATCCACAGTTGAATCTATAAATTATTGAAAAATCACAGAATATAATTCATTTTATCTACTTAATCTCTATTTTCATAATCTTTATAAATAATTCAGTCTACGTAAAAAATTTATTTTTATTAATAATAATTTATATATAACTCAAATTAATGTAAATATTATAATCACATTTCGTATTCATATTTATGTAAATCGACATTTGAATCCTTAATTTATTTAAAATTCACGCAATATAATCCATTATGAACTTTGTTAATTCCGTAACCTTTATTTTATATAATCATATGTTTGAAATATTTGGTTAAATTTGAATTAACTTATAGTTGTATCATGGAATTCTAACAATTATAAACTAATATAAAATAAAATGTTCAAATTTTATTTTATGTGCGATATTTAATAAAAAAATAAAAATATTGAACTGTGCGAATCTATTAAATAATAACACTAAAATTTATTATAGAACTCTGATTTGAACGAAATTACAATTCATAATAATGAAACTCTAAATATCATAAATATTTACTCCTCTTGCTAATGTTGAGGGAAAATATCTTCATTCTGAGGAAAAATTCCATCGTGTTTGATAACATGAGTTCTTCCATGAAGCACAAGTTTCCATTTATTGGTTATGATATCCTTCTTCCCATGATTAAATTCAACGACATAGTTGCTGATCTTGTAAACCTCGCCTTCGTTGAGTACTCCTCGAAATGTTCCCATATGTTTGGAACGTATTATACCTTTAATAAATGTACCCTACAATATAAATTTATAAATATGAATTAAAATATTTTTTAAAATTGTATACATTTAATATTGCACAGTAATATATTTACCTTTTCATCATGAAACAGTATATGGTATGCATTCCAGCTCTCCTGTTGGTGATGCGTTTCAACTATAAGGACGGTTTTCAAGTGCAAAGAAGGCTTGTTTCTCCTACTCAAGGAATCGAGGGTATTGCAGGCTGGTGGCATTATATTATCGATATGTTCTTCAATGTATTTTTTTTTTTTGTTATCTGTAAAATTTATGTATGTTTTTTTCGTTGTTTTTTTTCCTACTCGTGAAGTTTTTTTTTTCTATGCGTGAAGATTTTTCTTTTATGTGTGAATGACGTTAATTCATTTGTTGTGTAATTATATAATGATAATTATGGAATTGTGATACATACTTATCTCTTTAAATGACTTATCAACTCATGATATTTATCCCAATAATCTCTAACTAATTTACTTATCAATTCACGTGAGTTTTGATAGATTTTCATGTATTAGATAGATTTGAATTTGAATATGAGTTTTATCACTTTTGAATTAACGTGACTTTTGAATCTTTTGAGATTTGAATATGAATTCTAAAAATAGAATGTCAACGTTTTTTTTTTTTAGTCAAAAGTTTCTAAAAATGTATTTTACCAACAACCTTATTATATATAGATAGATATACTATTGACAACTGATTTGTTAGGATTAAGACGAAGATTTACAAGTATTGTCTAAGGCTTATTGCTCAAATCACTTCACACGCCTAACTTAATNCAGATAAAAATATATTAATTAAAATTTTATGTAATATATAAATAATATAAAATTTATTGATAAAATTCATAAAAATACAATAATAATAATTTATTTTTTATTTGCATTTGTTGAATTGAAGAGAAAATATAAAATGAAAAAATATAACATTTTGTATGAGAAGACATTAAAAAAAATGAACTATATTTGATATTGAAACATTACTTTGTCCACCATTTAACTCTCAATCTAATCTTGTTTTTAAAATATAACCTCATTAACAACCAAATTAACAACCTATCTTTTCACATAAATTCCACTCCCACCATTTAACACTTAGATTCAACATAAAAGCAACAACATATATTATAAATAACACTAGACATTCATACAACCCCACACTTCAACCATCTTTCCACACAAAATATAAATGTCACTCCCACCATTTAACACAATTCAACAAAAAAGCAACAACATATATACTAACATAACACTACACATTAAAACAACCCCACACTCAATTCATTTCCAAAGAACACCAACAACATACATATATATAGCACTAAACATTAAAGCAACCCCTAAATCAAACAAAATACCCAATAAATGGACTCCAAATTCAAATGAAATAAAACAATAAGTTTCTCACAAAATGTCTAGAACAAACCATTTAGGGACATCAAATCCGATTGTCCATGCAACACAACTGCATAGCTGAGAAGAGAAACCAGAAGCCCTTATTCTCATTCTAAAACACTCTAAGTGAGAAGAACAAAAGACAAGAAATGATCAAGAAATTTCAAAACTATCTTAGAAGAACCTACTCAAAGCTCCTTCAACTTATCCCATTTCACCCTCATCTTAAAAAAAATGCCTAAACTCACACCACATAACCAACTTCTCATCTTCTGCTTTCAAACTAAACCTCTCCACCAAAACATAACACCCGAACTCGGTCCAAACTCCGCTTCCCTCAAACTCGTCCACCCTCTCGACCTTCACCCGCCTCCTCTCGTCCCCCGACACCCAACTCCTCCTCCCACCTCATCCTCTCGACTATTTCCCGCCTCGAACCCACGCTCCCACCACAACTGTCATACCATATCATCCCCTCACAATCCGCCTTCTTATAGTCCCACTCGGCCCTACTCTCGCCGACACACGCCACCTCATTCTTGAACGAGCCGCTCACTGCCACGCGGGCGTCGTTGCCGTTGTTGCGGCACGTGAAGACCTTCTCCCACCTCCGCTCGAGCGTCATCCCGTAGTAAAATCTAAAGACGCCGTAATTTCCAAGAATGCCCTCCTTCACAAAAGGAAACGGGCAGTACCATTTGACGATCTCGGGCTGCTAGTAGACGTCGCGCGGGTCCAGCTGTCGCGGTTTTGCATCTTTAACGAGTCGAAAGCAACACCATTTGGCTGCGTCCTTTTCCCTTGATGAGCACGTGAATGCTAGCCTAAAAAACATTAGTTGTAAATTTCGAAAAATCGGTGTGGATGTATTATTAAAATCCGCGTTTTTTTCACTAGAAATTGTAACTCAAACTGTTGTTTACCAAACAACATGATTAGAGGCTTTGACGATCTGCATTTATGCATATGAACGAATGGCAATGATAAAATAATAAATAAACGAACAAAAAGTCGCGTACCCTTAGTCGCTTAGGCTCCTTTAATCGTTTAACTAATAAACCTCTAAACATTTAGGCTCTAAACATTTAGTCTCCTTTAATCGTTTAACTAAACAGTCATATATTTCAAATGTGCATTTAGAATAGACACTGTTATCCCGATTATCTAGTTCTTTTATCATTATTGTCGAATCATTCTAAGTTCGTAAAAATCTGCATTTATGAGCATGATAAAATAATAAATAAATGAACAAAAGTCGTGTACCCTTTGTTTTCATCGGTAGCTTTAATGGCGTAATAGCGATTTGAGGAGAGCGGCTGGTCGAGCACGGGGATAAAAAAGGCACTCTTGCAATGCCAGCGTTCGTCCCATACAGAACCCTTGTATTCAACGATGGCCGGCTTGTCCTGAGGCAGGGGAAGCTCCAACTTGGCCTCGACAAAGCACATACCAAAACACGAAGGAACCGTGTCTTCTGTGTATTGCTCCCCTTCAATAACTAATGGGTTTTCAAATTGTATCTAATGGTTTTGGTTAGTT